GAGCAGTTTCTGTCAGAGCTCTCTCAGCCCCACCTACCTCACAGGGTGTCTGTTGTGGGGAGGGGAAGGGAAAAGGAGTTTGTAAGCCGCTCTGAGACTCCAAGTGAAAGGCAGGGTATAAATCCAATCTCCTCTTCCTCCTCCTCCTCCTCTTCTTCTTTATTTTAGCACTTCTGAATGTATGATTAAATGATATATGATATTTTGTACACTAGCATTATGTGTGTAGCTATATTTTAGGGTTTTTTTTTCTTTGTCTCAACCTTTTTGGTAACCCTTCAGAGGTGGTTTACTATTGCCTGCCTGAGCGTCATGACCTAGGCATTCCCTGGAAGTCTCCCATCCAAATACTGACCAGGGCGAACCCACGCTCCCTCTAAGTTGTGGAGTCTTGTGAACAAAGATTCTACTTTGTGAGCTACTGGCATTCAAGTGGTGAGCGAGCCGTTTGGCCGCTGCATAAATTCGTTTGCTCTGGAGCCCTCCTTCCTGAGCTAAGAGAAAAATCTGTGAGCTGGAGGCTAAAAAACTGTGAGCTGGCTCACACTAACACAGCTTAGAGGGAACAACCCTGCTTAGCTTCTGAGACACGACAATATCAGGCAAGCCTGGGCTCTCCAGTTCAGGGCAGGCTGCCAGCCAGATCCTCAGTTTATTGCCCTGCGTCGTACTGATTAACCCAAGGTGTGTAAGGTTGAAGTGCATGAGGTGCTTCTGCATTGACAGTTTTGAGCTTATGGTTATTATCTATTTTATTTATTATGACTCCATTTATACCCTGCCGTTGCCCCCAAAGTGGCTTACGTTGTCCCCCCCTCTTCTATTCTGTCCTCACAACAACCCTGTGAAGTAGATCAAGATGGGTCGCCGTGTTAGTCTGTCCGTAGGAGTGGAAAAGAGCAAGAGTCCAGGAGCACCTTAAGGGCTAACGAAATATGTGGCAGGGGAGGAGCTTTCCTGAGTCACTGCTGAGTCACTTCACTGCTGAGACACTGAAGAAAAATTTTGTTTGTCCTTAAGGTGCTACTGGACTCTCGCTCTTTTCTACCACTACAGAAGAAGAAGAAGAAGAAGAAGAAGAAGAAGAAGAAGAAGAAGAAGAAGAAGAAGAAGAAGAAGAAGAAGAAGAAGAAGAAGAAGAAGAGGAGGAGGAAGAAGAAGAGGAGGAGGAGATTGAGATTTTATTTTTATCCCGCCCTTTCCCTTTCCCTTCCCCTCCCTCTAACAGACACCCTGTGAAGTAGGTGGGGCTGAGAGAGCTCTCCTGAGAACTGCCCTTGAGAGAACAGCTCTGAGAGAACTTGCGACTGACCCAAGGTTACACCAGGAGCTGCATGTGGAGGAGGGGGGAATCAAACCCGGTCCTCCCAGGCTAGAGTGCACACTCCTGGCCCGTAGCTACAGTGGGGCTATTAGGGGTTCCGCCCCCTTCCTTAAAGGGCCAGCCCCACAAGATTTCCTTCTGAAAATGGTAAGGGATTTCAGTGCTTTAGGCAGGGGAAGGGAGGGGGTTTGCGTTTCATTTATATCTGGGGTGGCTGTTGTGGGGGGGGGTTGTGCGGCATTTAATTTAATTTTTTATTAGTATTATTGTCTGTATTGTTACTTAAAAGTACAGGTTTAGAAACATACAGAAAAAATAACGGCAGCCCCAGCAGAAATTTTATTGCCCCACAAGCCACAAAATCCCGGCTACAGATTTTTTTACTCCTACTACCACTACTACCACCATCATCACCATCATCATCATCAACAACAACAATAATAGTATTTATGAATCGCCCAACCTGTGGTACAAACCGCAGTTCGAACAAGATAAAATCAGTTAAGACATTAATAAAACCGTAGAGGCAATCAGATGGCAAATATCCAATTAAGGATTTAAATCTTTTAACACTATTTCAGTTTGGAAACTGTAATTTTAAGCTGTCATTGGTCTGTTTTTATCCTGGGCACGGATTTTTAATGCTGTTTTTTAATTATCGTTTTTATTTTGTTTTTTATTATTTTTTATTTTGTAGGCCACCTCAGGCCGCTTCCTGGAGAGGCAGTGTACATGTTTGTCTAAATAAATATATAAACACTCCCTAAAGCACTTGGTTGCTTCATTGAATTTGGGTTTGGGTGTAAATGCGCTCTGCGCATGCCTCGAAGCACTTCCACTTGTTCAGAGACGGTGCTGAAAAATAAGTTCTGTGTCTTGGTGGCAACATGACGGCCCTCAGCGCGTGCTCTGAAACACTGCGCTCTTTCACACACCCCGAATAATGCGACTTCAAGCTACTTTCAGCGCACTTTGCAACTGGATATCCACTGTGTGAAGTGGCAAAATCCACTTATAAACAGTTGCTGAATTGGATTGAAATGGCATTATTTAGCATGTATGAAAGTGCCCACTGCTGCCTGCACCAGTTTAAGGCGGGTGGTGAGGAGTTGGCCAGGGCTCTTTTTGTAGCAGGAACTCCTGTGCATATTAGGCGACACACCCCTATGTAGCCAATCCTCTAAAAGCTTACAGAGCTCTTCTTACAGGGGTACTGTAAGCTCTTGGAGGATTGGCTATGTTTAGGGCTGCCAACTGGGGATGGGGGGCGGGGAAACCCCCGCTTTGGAGACCCAATATCCGCCGCCGCAGAATCGGGCCCCGGGGGGAACCCCGCCCTGGCGTGCACGTCACCAGGAAGTGACGTGAGCATGCCGGGCACGCTGGGGGCGGGGCCACAGCCATACAAGGGAAAACTCGATGGTTTTCCCTTGTGTGGCCATGGCCCCGCCCCCAGCGTGCCTGGCATCCTCCTGTCACTTCCGGGTGACGTGTGTGCGGCGTGCGCGTGCTTTGCGCGCGTGCACATGCACAAGACACCGGCCGGGAGCCCCCCACTCCCGGCGAAGATACACTTGGCATCCCTAGCTACGTTACGGGTGTGTCACCTAATATGCAAAGGAGTTCCTGCTACGAAAAGAGCCCAAGGACTGATTGGTAGACCTAGTCTCAAAGTGAAACATGGCGTACACCACTTGAGAGGAATTGCAGTGTGCGGAGGCTGTGCGTGGGGAGGGAGCATAGTTGGTGCGGGGCAAGCTAGAGACCCCCCTCCCCGGGTTTATCCAGCCTGTCCTCATCTGTAAACCACCCCAGACCAATGCTCCCTCTAAGCTGTGGAGTCTTGTGAGCAAAAATCCTACTGTAGTGTATCCAGTTCAGACCGCGTGGCCGGCTTGGGCGCCACGCGGTCAGGCACAAACATCGAGCTTCGCTCCAAGAGACAATGGACTATGTGGATCCTAGCCCGCTCCAATCAGGGAGCTAGATTCCCAGCCGAGAGCCTATGGGACTCTCAGCCACTGTAAATAACCTATTGGGAAGTGGGTGTGTGTTTTGGGTGGCGGTTTCTCGGGGAATATAAGCTGGTCTGCAAGCCGGCCAAAGTGTCTTGTTCCTGATCGAATAAAGTACGCTTTGCTGAAATCACTCTCCGTCTGCGTACTTTTCACCTACTTTGTGAGCTACTGGCATTCAAGTTGTGAGCGAGCGATTTGGCTACTGCGTGAATTAGTTTGCTCTGGAGCCCTCCTTCCTGAGCGGAGACAAAAATGTGTGAGCCGGAGGCTAAAAAACTGTGAGCTGGCTCACACGAACTCAGCTTAGAGGGAACACTGACCCAGACCCATGTTGACTAGTTTCAGCAAAGAAACACAGTAGAGATGAAGGCGGGGAGGGCCCTGGAGAAACTTGGCTTTTAAAATGAACCTGGCTTTTAAAACAATAGCGGTGTGTGCACTTTTTTTTAACAGAACTCTGGAATGCAACGGCCAGGGAGATTTAATAAGGGCAAATGAGCGGTGAGGGAGAAAACCTTCAATTTCTGAATGTCAGGGCGTGTTCTTATTATCACAGAAGCCCTGCTTTGGTGGGGGGGGGGGGGGGGGCGGAAGCAGCAGTGCTTCTCCACGTAGGTCCTCAGGATTGGGGCCGCTGGACAGAGCCGGGAGATGGAGACACTCCAGGTATGCAAATAGTACGGTCTGGTGTTAGAACTATTTCTGCAGGGCAGGTGGGGCCGGGAAATACACAGAGGGTTGCTGCCGACTGACCAGGAAATGAAAACACCAGGCCGATCCGCTCTTCTGCCTTAACAAAGGCCGAACGGCAGAAATCCAGCCTGCGTGGCTGTTTCAGGAAGGAAACACGACCAGCTAGCCCTCCCTTCATATCCTGCCCCTTCCTCAGGGCAACCGACCTCAGAGTCTAACCATTTCATTTTGTCACCCCAACATCCCTGTGAGATAGGCCAGGCTGAAAGAAGAAGAGGGACCTGCTTAAGGTTACCCGTTGAGCTTTTATGGCCAAGCGGGGATTAGAACCTACATCTCCAAGATACTCTGACTACAACACCACCACAGCGGCTCTCCATTACTCCTTACCGCTGCAGGTCTTCAAAGGAATATCTCTGGTCGGAAGGTGGCCATTCCAGAGGAACCGTGGCCACTTGAATCCGGACACTGATCAGGCTGCGATCACACACACTCAACAATCCACTTTCAGTCCACCTCAGTTTTCCCTCTAAGCTGTGTTAGTGCGAGCTAGCTCACAGTTCTTTTAGCCTCTGGCCCACACATTTTTGTCTTAGTTTAGGAAAGATGGTTCCAGAGCAAAGTAATTTAGGCAGTAGCCAAATCGCTTGCCCACAACTTTAAGGCCAGTAGCTCAGAAAATAGGATTTTTGCTCACAGAGCTCCACAATTTAGAGGGAGCATTGACCTCAATGCACGTTCAAACTGGATTTTGCCAGTTCGCACAGTAAAAATCCAGTTTGAAAGTGGATCGAAAGTGGATTATTGAGTGTGTGTGATCGGGGAGGAGGGGTCTTTGGGCTTCGTTTTCTGCCCCCGGCATGAGGACTTGCCTTTAACAAAACTAGAGAGTCTGCCTCCCGGGAGGACGTAAAGGACGCTCTGAACCTTCTCCCACATCCAAAGGGAAAAGAAAGAGATCTTACCTGGATCGGAAAGAATTCTCGCCTCCTGGATCCAAACGGGATCGTTAATCCCTTGCCTTGCCGTTGCAGGTAGCCCTTCCTTTAAAAGGCCAAAGAGGAACGCTTGCCACTTCCTGATACACTTTGGAGCGGTTCCCAGGTAGCAACCCGAAGATGCGGGCTTACCTGGCCCCCACCGCCGCCGCACACACCTTTGCCACGGTCTCTTTGTTTTTGTTTAAAATGGCAGCTGAAGAATTAATCATTACTAGGCGCACACAATCATTAAACTGGTGTGTGGTGGACTCACACACACATGCAGGCACACACCCCTCCCTCCCTCCCTCTCTGAGCCCTCCCTCCCTCTCAGAGCCCGCGAGAGCCTGGTACACACAGAACACAAAGGCCTGGCAGGAAAGAGAGAGGGATTAAAATCTCTCCTGGGGCTGTTTTGCTCCGCCGGATGCCAAGCTGCCAAGCTCGCCTCTTGACCGGGTTCTGCTCTGCTACCTCCGAGTGACCCCCCTTCCTTAGCCAATCCCCCTCCTGGCCCTGTGGGCCAACGTCGAGAGGAGAACTCGGGACCCGTGTTTGTTCCGGGCCCGTTCACCTTGGTCATGCGGAAGGTGCGCGGCACGGCAGTGCCTGCCAAGCGCCTGCCAAGCGCCAACTGGGAAAAAACAAAACACTTTGGATTCCGAGCCTTTAATCCTGTAAGACACTCACGACTTGTCGGCTTTTGCAACCATGACGGGCCAGAGGCTTCCCAGACTGTGGCGTCAACAGGAGCTCTCCGCAGACTTAAGAGTGAGCACCTGCGGCGGTGGATTAGAAGCCGGAAGCCAAGATCTCTGTAGAATTCAGCCCTAGGGGCAGTGGCCTTGACAGGATCCGGTGGGTCACCCATGTAAGCAAGCCACCCCGGGCCCCAGTCTTATTATCTTCACCAGTGTGGCATAGTGGTTAAAGTGTCAGACTTGGATCCAAATCCTCCGTCTGCCATGGAAACTTGTTGTGGTTGACCTTTGGCCAGTCACTCACCCCCTCAGCCTAACCTACCTCATAGGGTTGTTGTGAGGATAAAAATGGAGACGAGAGTGATGAGAGCCACTTTGGGTCCCCATGGAGGAGACATGAAGTCAAAATGCAGTATGAGCTCAGCTCTGGTCTAGCAACTCAACTGTTGCAAGAAGGAGGAGGAGAAGAAGAAGAAGAAGAGAAGAAGAGATTGGATTTCTACCCCGCCCTTCACTACCCAAAGGTCTCTCAAAGTGGCTTACAAACTCCTTTCCCTTCCCCTCCCCACAACAGACACCCTGTGAGGTAGGTGGGGCTGAGAGAGCTCTGACAGAAACGGCTCTTTTTCAAGAACAGCTGTTATCAGAGCTACGGCTTGCCCAAGGTCATCCAGCCAGGTGCAAGTGGAGGAGTGGGGAATCAAACCCGGTTCTCCCAGATTAGAGTCCGCGCACTTAACCACTACACCAAACTGGCTCAAGAAGAAGAGGAGGAGGAGGAGATTGGATTTATACCACCCCCTTCACTACCTGAAGGAGTCTCAGAGTGACTTACAAACTCCTTTCCTTTCCCCTTCCCACAAAAGACACCCTGTGAGGCAGGTGGGGCTGAGAGAGCTCTTTCGAGGACTGCTCCTGAGAGAACAGCTCTGAAAGAATTTATGGCTGACCCAAGGTCACACCAGCAGCTGCATGTGGAGGAGTGGGGAACCAAACCCGGTTCTCCCAGATTAGAGGCTGCACTCCTAGCCACTGACTACACCATTGGGCCTTGCAGCTGAGCTCTTGCAAAGCTGATCTTACCCTGTTAATAGCTCTTTGTTATGCATTGTCCCACTGGCCTTTCCCTTTCCTGCTCCGTGATATATCTTGTCTTTTACCTGAAAAAACAGAGGCCTTTCCTTAGGCCTATTGTCATTTATGTATAGTTTCTGATGCACTGACCTGGCCCAGGCTAGCCCAATCTTCCCAGATCTCAGAAGTTAAGCAGGGTCAGGCTGGTCAGTATTTGGATGGAAGACCACCAAGGAAGCCCGGGGTCACAAAGCAGACGCAGGCAACGGCAAACCACTTCTGAATGTCTCTTGCCTTGGAAAACCCCACCGGGTTGCTGTAAGGCAGCAAGAGAAGCCGATACCCATGGCATCATGCACTGAAATCGAGTCGTGGCAAGCCAGGAATCTCAGTGCAGTCACTTGGTGTGGTGTTTGTGTATGCACGCATTGTGTATGCACGCAATGTGTATGCACGCATTGCTGAAACAGGCAATCTTGATTTGGGTAATGCAGCGTGGGGGGGATGTGAGTGAACTGAAGGGGCTCAGGCCACACCCATATGCAGGATTTCTGGGTGGTGGGGCCAGGGCAGGGGCGCAGGGGCAGGGGAGAGGTGGCGGCGTAAGGTGCCACGGGTAAGGGATTGTTGTTGCGGAATTTGAAGACACTTTCCAAAGCTGGCAAATCCACAGCAGCTGGGGAATCCACAGAGACCAACCCGAGTGGGTAGAACACTAGGAATAAAATAACAGGGTGTGGGAGGCCCGAGTGAGGTCCAGCCTTCATCTCCAGCGTGATGAGAGACAGAACACAGCCCTTGTGGCTGGCCCCTCCAGAAGGAAGGAGGGCCTGGGCGGATCTACATTACCAACCCCATTCATCTGGAAGCATGTGACTTGGAGGCTGGAATGCACACAGCGGGGCGCAGCCTTTGAAGACTCCTTGGAGGTAATTTGCAGCTGGCAACGGACAGAGTAGCTCTCTGCCAGGGAGGGGGAACTGCTGGGAAAGACACGTCTACTACCTTGATTCAGCAGACCTGGGACAAATGTGGTTCAGTTCGATTTGGAAACTCCCCATTTCAGTATTTCGTTTCCCCTGTGTGGGGGGACGAACCTGTGAATCTTCATTCCCAGGCTCTCGTAATGAATTTTTTCGTTCTCATGATGAATTTCGTTCTCATGACGAGTTTCTCCCATTAAAATTAATGGATCTTTCAACACTGAAGGGTTTTTCCGGTTTGCATAAGAGCTGCGGTGGCTCAAGTGGTTAAGACACTGAACTGCAGGCTGTGGAAGGTCGGTAGCTCAGCAGTTCGAGACCCGAGTGTGCTGCATGACGGAGTAAGCTCCCGTCTCTAGTTCCAGCTCTTGCCAACCGAGCAGTTCAAAAGCAAGAAATTGCAAGTAGATAAATAGTTACCACTTCAGTGGGAAGGTAACAGTGTTCCGTGCACCTCGGCGTCCAAGAACCACGGAAACGTCTTTGGACAGCGCTGGCTCTTCGGCTTTGAAACGGAGATGAGCACCGCAACCCTAGAGTCGGATTCGACTGGCTTTCGAGCAAGGGAACCGTTACCTTTTTAAAGAAAACAATAAAAAGAATCTGGGTTGCGATAAAAACAAGGAAGACAAAAAGCAAGTGGCGATCTGTGATACCAAAAAGAAATTAAAAAGCCCAGCTCGGTGATTCGGCAGCTCCTCCGGCTTCTGGACGATTTTTGTTTGATCTTGATGGTCCTCCAAAGCCTTTTCCACACACACCCCACGGGGGGGTTGCAAAATTTTGCGGGCAGCTCAGTTATTTGGTTTATCTTGCTTTTTTCTTAAGCATTTGCCCTGAGTTGGAACTTTTAAAAAAATTCAAAGCAAGTTGATTTGAATATGTTGTCGAAGGCGTTCACGGCCTGAGTTCATTAGTTGCTGTAGATTTCCCGGGCTGTCTAGCCATGGTCTTGGCATTGTAGAACCTGATGTTTCACCAGTAGCCATGACTGGCATCCTTAGAGGTATAACACAGAAAGATGGAGTACTCTCTGTGTCAACAGCTATTGGCGAAACGTCAGGTTCTTCAATGCCAAGACCACGGCCACACAACCCGGAAAATCTATAGCAACAAGTTGATTTGAACAGATGAATTGGTGTAATTTTTATGTGCGCGGAGTCTAATCTGGGAGAACCAGGTTTGATTCCCCACTCCTCCACTTGCAGCTGCTGGATGACCTTGGGCAAGCCGTAGTTCTGGCACAGCTGTTCTTGAAAAGAGACACCTGGGATTCATTAGAAGTTTAGCAGCATATCTGAGCCTGAACATATTGAGATCAGCGTCCTATTTGAATGAATTGTATTATCTTTCATGACTTGTTGTTAAGCACTTTAAGAGCGAGGGAGCTTTTGGACCACTCTAATATTCCTGAGGAAGATCCAATTTTGAAACGTTGTTATATAATCCGGAGATGACATTGATGATGTATCTTTGATGATGTATCGTTGTTCTAGGATTTTCTTATGATTTGTAGGAATTTAGACTGTGATACACAGGAAGTATTTTTTGCAAGTCTTGTGGACTGCTTGATTTGTGGGTCAGACTCTCACGACTGTTTTCT